TGCTTTTCATAAAATAAGGAAAAATTTTTAGTAGCTAGTTGTTTGTGTATAAATATATAAATCTTGGGAAAATGATTTTTATGTAAGGCTTTTAGTGGGTGAACAAAATTTGGCTTGACTTAAAAAAATTCCACATTTAGCCTGGCGCCAGTGGCTCACGCCTGTAATCCTAGCTCCTCAGGAGGCTGAGGTCTGAGGATTGCAGTTCAAAGCCAACCCGGGCAAGAAAGTCCGTGAGAGTCTTATCTCCAATAAACCACTAGAAAACTGGAAGTGGTGCAGTGGCTCACGTGGTAGAGCACTCGCCTTGAGCTGAAGAGCGCAGGGACAGCGCCCAAGCCCAGATTTCAAGCCCCATGACTGACAAAAAAAAAATTCCACATTTAAAATATTGTCTTAGGAGATAAACCATGTTATTAGTTGACTGTTAATAGACCTAATGATTACAAAGGTATAAAGGTAAATGTTGATATACTAGAATGGAGAGTACCCTAGTAGGACTGGAAAAGATTATTCAGTGAAAGCATACACTTAAAGTGGCTCCTGTTTCCTCATAATGGAGCTTGCCTGGGGTTTTTCTGAGCCAGAGCTGCTGTGCAGCTGGTGAATTGAGTCTTGCAGGTAGTCCCTTAGGACTAGAAAACATGTCCCTCCCTCCCCCAATCAGTGTGTGAACAAAACTTGGATGGTAAGCCTTACTGAATTTCTGCATCAGGTTCTCCAGAGAAGCAGAATAGGGTGTGTATAGATTTACTGCAATAATTAGCTCCTGTTATGGAGACTGATGAGTCAAAATCTGCAGTGTAAAAGCATGTTAGGAGACCCAGGAAGAATCGTAAGGCAGTCTGCTTAATGTCTTGCTTAGAGAGGAGGCTATTATTTGGTACCACAAATGACCTTCAACCAATTGGATGAAATCTACTGACATGAAGCACTGTCTTACTCAGAATTCACTTATTTAAATGTTAGTTTTATCTGAAGCTTCCTCAGAAATACCCAAAATAATGTGTTAGCAAATATGTGGGTGCCCATGGCTGGCCAAGTAGATGAAAGTTACCAGTACCTAAGGATGACCCAGTAGCTGTGCCACAGAATAGAAGTGAAGTCTTGCTTGCACTGTTCCTCCCATTGCCCTGGACTAATAACAGCTTACTATAGTGCTGGCTGGCTAAAAAGAAACGTACAGCTTGCTCTGGTTTGAATGCACATGCTCCAAACTCCAGGTGTGGCCAGTGTGGGAGTATTAAGACCCCGAGTCCCACAATAAGTCATGAGACTTCACCCTCATGAGTGGTGTTAATGCCTTCAGAAAAGAATCTTTTTAAGCCAGGTGCTTGTGGCTCACGCCTGTAATTCTAGGTACTTGGGAAGGTGAGAGTTGAGGATCTTATTTCAAAGCCAGCTTGGGCAGAAAAGTTTGTGTATCTAATTAATCACCAAAAAGCTGAAAGTGGGTGCCTCATATGTAGAATGCCTTGAGCAAGGAAAATTCAGGGATAGTACCCAGGCCCTGTGTTCAAACCCCAAGACCAGCAACACAGGAGTTGCAGCAAAGCCGGGCGCCAGTGGCTCATGCCTGTAATCTTAGCTACTCAGCAGGCTGAGAAATGAGGATCACAGGTCAAAGCCAGTCTGGGTAGGAAAGTCCTTGAGACTTATCTCCAATAAACCACTAGGAAACCAGAAGTGGCGCTGTGGAAAGAAAAATGTTTCAGTGTTTGGCTAGCTTGCATTCAGCCATATGAAAATGCAAGAGGGCACTGAGACAACAGCTGACAGCATCTTGGTCTTGAACTTTGAAGTCTGCAGGCCTTTGAGAAGTAAATGTCTGTTCTTTGTAAGTTACCTAAATGTAGTATTATGTTACAGCCACACAAATGGATGAAGACCAGGGTCTGGCTGTGCAGTGGGTGGTGAGTGTGTTGCTCAGGCAATAAATTTCACTGGCAAAAGCATACTCACTGCCTGCTTTCAGTAATATGTTTTCATACTTGGTTAGTGTTGGAAATAAATTGCAAAGGTCAACATTTCACCCTTAAATATTTCAGACTTCACTTTCAGTAAATGGCATTTGTCACTTAACAAAATTCACAGTAAATCCAAAATACCTTTTTTTGCTTTTTGGTGCCAGTATTGGGGCTTGAACTTGGGGCCTGAGTGTTATACCTTAGCTTTTCAATCAAGTTTGGAACTCTTACCACTTGAGCCCCTTTTGACTGGGCTTTCCTGTCCTGTTGGCTTCCATGCATGATCCTCAGATTTCAGCTTCCTGAGTAGCTAGGATTACAGACGTGAGCCACCTAAGCCTAGTTCTAAAATTAAATATTTAATAATTCAAATTTCTCCAGTTCTCCCTCAAATGTGTTAGAACTGCTTCACACAAAGATCTAGGTTATGGATCAGATTTGGTGGGTTTCTCTCACATTTCTTGAATTTGGAACCGGCTGCCAATTCCTTTTGCCTTATAAGCCTTTTTCATGATAGTACACAGAGTGCATTTGAGCTAGATGCTTATGGTGTCATTTCACTTGTGCAAGTCCATAGTGTCTTTCAAGCTGGAGGCTAGAGCTTAGAAGTGACCAGTTTATCTACTCTTTCTTGTGACTCATAACTTGCCTCTAAATATGTGCTTGACCACATGTAGAACATTTCAGGTACTCCATAAGACATAACAAAAGTGTAAATAGCTGAATTTCTGAGTTTTTTTTTTTTAAAACATAAGAGCTCTATTGTTATTTTAAAACCCCATAATAGTTATGAGTTCCACTTAGGAGCTAATGCATATTACCTTCAGGTAGTTGCAACAAAGTAAGATTTCCAGACAAGATAATTTCAGTTATAGATTAAAAAGAATTGCCCCTTAGTATTTTTCATCTCTATCTCTGAAGATAAAAGAGGTGATAAACGTGATCTCTAAGGTCAAACAGGATAGTAGGTATGCCCCTGGCATAACAGCCAAGTGCACGGACTACAAGCCTGTGGGTATTGATATTGGAGCTTGAACTCAGGACCTTGAGCTCTCCCTTGGCTTTTTGCTCAATGTTGACGCCCTACCACTTGAACTGCTCCTCCAATTCTAGCTTCATGATTAATGGGATAAAGAATCATGTATTTGTTTGAGCTGGCTTGGGACCGGAACCCTCAGATCTCAGCTTCTTGAGTAATTAGGATTATAGGCCTGGCCACCAGTGCCTGGCTTCTGAGTCTCCCCTGCTGAGAAGTTTGACTTGGTCCTAAGCACAAGCAGGTGTTCCTCTTCATCCAGGTCTGCAGGACTGAAAGTCAGTCTAGTAATCAATTAACTTATAATACAACCATCATAAAATGAACCTAACCCTAAAGTCATTTTGAGAATTAAATGCTAATATTAACTTTTTTACAGCACATAGAAGAAACCTAGTATGATTTTAATAGCTCATTCAACAAAGCGTCTTGTTAAATTCTTACAACTACAGAACACTATCAGAAAAACAACTTTACATGCAATATCCTACAAGATCCGGCTTCTTACCTCTCGACTCATCTCTTCCTTAGTGAGTTCTACCACACTTTCTAGCCTTCTCTCTACTGATTATAGAGGTCTTTGTGTTGCCAGCTCAACATTCAGATGATGGTTCAAAGATGGTGAAATTTTTCTGAGCATTCAAGTCCTTAACCTATCTCCAAGAATGGAGATAGGTACCTCAGTACAGCATACTTTTTTTTTTCTTCAATCCCTTCACTTACTGGCATCCTTCTCATTTGCATGTAAGGAGTCATTCAAGCCTTTTCTGCTTTGGGAACGTTAGGACTTAGAACCAGCGCCAGGCTAGAATAAGAGCATGTGCCGTGAGTGCAAAATGTAATGCACTGATCGGTGCGACATTGAGTTGTTTTGGAGGGTTTGTCTTGTGGGCCGGTGCTGGGACCGCACTCTCCCTGGCCTGCTGGGGGCTGGCTCCATGCTCTTCCGCTTAAGCCACGCCTCCAGCCCCTGATGCAACATTTAAAAAAATGAAAACGAATGCAAACCTCTCTACTGTGAACAGCGTGTAAGAAAATTTTAAAAATAACGGCCGATCCACCCAGCCCTTCGGACTCACTCACCCCGCCTCCCGCAAGGCGTCACCAACTGGACTGAACACAACTGGGAGTCGAACATTCTCACAACGGTACCCGAATGACAGGAGGACGCTGCAGCCCCACCCCAGCCCGGCCGGAAGGCCCGCCCAGCCGGCCCGCCCAGCCGGCCTTCGCCTCCGTCCCGCGAGCACCTCCGCGGCGCTACCTGCCCGCGCTCCGCACCCCGCCCCGCCCTCGGAGGGAAACGCGGGGCCCCAGTGCGCAGCCGCCAACCCGCCAAGCCAGCGGCCACCGCCTACCTACAAGCGCCTGCGCAGAAGCACCGGCCCGTGGGCGGGGCGAGTTTAGGAGGGAGAGTGGAGCGCGCCTAAATCCTAGAGAGGCGGACTACAGGGGCTGGGGGCGGGGAGGGCGCGTCTTCCGGAAAGTCTTTCTGCCCGACCACCGGAGTCGCCGCTGTCGGATCTTTCACTTGTAAAATGACCGAAGAAAGAAGGGTGTCCTTAGTGCTCGTCAGAGACCTTGAAGCAGAAGCCGGAGATACCCGCGGACTGAAGTTAGGATTTTCAGAAGGCCGGTTCTGGAGTCGGCGAAGGGAAGCGCGGCGGCTGTACGCATGCGTGGTAGGCTCCCTCCGCGTGGGGCCAGGCGGCGGGCTCCGATCCTCAGAGACCCCGCCCCTGCCTCAGCATCTTTCCGGACCGCAGGAGCCGGACCTGACGGGAGGAGGCTGGGCTTCGCGGCGAGGCCCCGCCTTCTCGGCTTCCAATTGGACGGAAGCGAGAGAGTCCCCGCCCGTCTCCTTCCTATTGGTGCGCGTGTACGAACGACGTTTCCTATTGGGTCGCTCAGATTTGGGCACCAAATTCAAAGATTTTAAAAGTACCAGCTGGCGCCTTTTAAGAGTTTCAGGTCTGAGCAGCGGCCGGCCTGCAGAGCCTCCGCATTCCTTCACCTGAGGCGGACCCGGCGGACCCTGCGTCCCCTGGCATGAGCCGGCGACCCTGCAGCTGCATCGCACAGGCCCCCGTCGGCTCCTGCTCCTGCCGGTGCAGCTCCAGCTCGGTCACCGCCGCCGGGCGCCTTCGCCCCTCAGAGAGTAAGTGCGGGGCGCGCATCGCGGGGCGCGGGGCGAGGGAGGCGCCTCGTCCCCGGTGCCCCTCGTCCTGCTGGGCCTGGCGCGAGCATCGCGGGGCCTCGCGGCGGCCGCCCCAGTCCTGGAGTCGGAGGGAGGGAGCGGGGTGGGCCGGGAGCTCCGGAGGGGACCCGCCAGGTGTGCGGGGTGCCGGGGTGTCCTGGCGGGCCCCGGGGCTGCCACGCCGGGGCGGGGCGGGCAGTGGCCGCGCGGGGCGCCGCGGTTCCCCCGGGGGGGGGCGGGGAAGATCACCTATCCCCACCCTCCCTCCTGAATGGGCGCCAAACGCCCCTTCCCTGCCCCGGCCCGCTCCCGCCCGGCCGGGTCCCCGCTCCCCACCCGCGCCTCGGGGGCTTCGGCCCCGCGCCCTCGTCCCGAGTCGTTTTCCCCGACTTTCCGCGTCCCCTGCGCCGCTGGCGGGCGCGGGAAATCGAGCTCGCGGTTATCTCCCGCCTCAGCTCCGCGTGTCCGCGCCCTCGGGGCACGGCCCACCCACCCCTCCGACTTTGAAGGGTCTCCGGGCCTGCTCCCTCCAAATGGAGACCCCCCCCCCCCCCTCATCAGATCAAAGTCCATGCAGAACATCCAAGCAGAGGCTGTTTCCTCTCTTTTTTGGGGGGGGGGTATCCCTCCTTTTTCTGAAGAATTCAATCTCCAGGCCTGTGGTTGGTTGCCTGGAAGGTTTAAAAAAAGCAAAATCCCTCCTTAATATAAAACCATAGATTTGCACCTCGTATTTAGCGGATGATCTAAGAATTAGAAAGCTGCGCGCCCCCCCCCCCAAGAACTGGTTTTTGGTTTTTATTCTTTTTTTTTAATACCCAAGCTGGAGTAAAAGGGGAAGGCCCTCTCCTCTAACCTTTATTCTTGGTTCTTTGTTGCAATCTCTCAGCCAAATCTAATCACAGTCATTTTACCTTGCAAGTGACCAAGAAAATGAGGGAGGGGAACCCAGCAACTTGATGTTTTTTTAATACTTTTTATTAGAAAATTGAGACCCTACTCCAAAATATTTAATTTTAACAAGTTTTATTTGTAGGAGGAGATTGGGATTCCTCAGTCTCCCTCAGAATTCTGAAGCGTGGTAGGGTCTATGGTGGGCTTATTTTTTTTTTAACTTTTTTTTGCCTTCTTGTGGAAGTATTTGGTGCCTTGCTTTCTCTACTCTCCACCCCCACCCCCCACTTCAAGAAATGTCAAGTTTTAAAATTATTGGGCCCAGAGAGTTTGGAAAGTAAGCTTTTTTTTTCTTTTGAGGATTATTCCTTGAACTGGCCTAACGTTCTTAAGATAAGGTAATGCCTAATCTTGGCCACATGGTTGTCTTCTAGGTACTGGAGACTGAAACTTCATTAACATATTGGAAGAATTGTCAACATTTTTAAGCCTTACAACTTTATAGTATTACTGTATTTAAGATGGAATGTTAGATCTATATTTGAAAGTTTAATGGAAGACCAAACTGTCAACTTTTATAATTCCAATTTTTCATAATTGGGCTGTGAATTACTACTGGAAAAGGTAGACAACAGGCTGAACTCTGGGATTTTTTTTTTTTTTTGGTCAGTTGTGGGGCCTGAACTCTGGGCCTGGGCAGTGTCCCTCAGCTCTTCAGCTTAAGGCTAGCACTCCATCACTTGAGCCATGGCGCCACTTCCAGGTTTTTTCTGCTTATTTGGTGCTGAGGAATCAAACCCAGGGCCTCATGCATGCAAGGCAAGCACTCTACCACTGAGCCACCTTCCCAGCCCTGAACCCTGGGATTTTTATTTGAACTTGGATCAGATTCCTAAATTTATACTATTATATGTGGGATATCTTACTACTTCTAAGTGTTTATACTTATTGGGAACGATGTAATATATAAATATGTGTATATCCCCCTTGTGATAGGCACTCTGCTTTCAGTCCAGTTTTGTTTTCTTCCCCTATTATGGGTAGGGGAAACAGATTTTGAAGGACATTTGTTCATCTTCCTTGATTCAGTGAATTGTATTTACTATTAAATCTTTTTTTACTACACTTTTGCTTAATCGTTCCTCATCTAGTACATCAGCAAACTAATTTTGGCTTTACCCTTGAATCTATTCAATCATCCTCATTTCCCATCCTAGCCCCTGCTTCCCAACTTGCTGAAGTTCTATGATAACCTTCATTCCTTCCTGCTATCCATCCTTCACAGCTGCTGGTGATCTTTACAAAATGGGAACCAAATGTCTCTTCCTCTTAGAAAAAACTAGTCCTGGCCTTGTTCACAAGTCCTATATGTTATCTCTTAGCCTAAGTTGCAAGCTTTACTGCTCCATTGATACTTACTTTATACTTGGCTTCCTGAACTTTCCTGAAATGTGTCACCTTCTCTAAAAGATCATCCCTGCATAATATCTTCTGTGCCCTCTAACTTGGTGTTAGATAAATGAGTTGAATAATTAAACTACATCCTTGACCCTTGTCTAAATCAAGGGGTTAAGGGACCAGGTAATTTCTCCCTTACTGGCTTTTGTCAGATCAATGATATGAATAAATGTATTAACCAGATTGTTTAGAAACACTTGGCTTAATCTTTGGAAAGCATAAAGACCTGAAATTAACCTTTTGCAAGCAGCTTTTATTACTACTATAAGTGGTGGTGGATTCATTTTTTGTGGAGATGGAAAAAAAATCATTTTTTGCATTCATTTCACATTTTAAAATAAAATCTACAACCATTCCATGATGCCAATGTAGAATAAGATAAGCGACAAAATATATTGTCAGATTATAACTTAAAATTCATTAGTAAGTATTGATAGAAATGATGGAGGACTAACTTCATATGCAGAAACCTGACGAGCACTATGTCAGGCGATCAAGGTAAATATTGTAAGTGATAAATTTATTCTTGGAATAATAGCACTTGTATTTGTTCTCCAAAACACCCTCCCCCTCAGAGATAAACTCTGAGGGTGGTAGGAGGACTATGAAATGAATCTCAATTTAGAGGCTTTGTACAAGGGAAGTCCAAATTTGACAAAACCTGGCTCTTCTGAGATAATGGTAACTAAGTATAAGGTGGGATCCCCATGAATAAGAATACAATTCCTAATGCCTTTAACTAATACACTAGGAAGCATTTTTAATTCTTTTTGTTGTTGTTTGTGCCATTTGTGGGGCTTGAACAAAGGGCCTGGGCACTGTCACATAGATTTTTGGGTAAAGGCTAATGCTCTACCCCTTAAACCACATCTCCACTGTGGCTTTTTGGTCGTAAATTGGAGAGAAGAGTCAAGTAGACCTTTCTCCTTGGGCTGGCTTCAAACATAATCCTCAGATCTCAGCCTCCTTTGAGTTGCTAGGATTACAGGTGTAAGCCACTGGTGCCCAGCAAGAACACATTTTTGTATTCGATGTCTTCATTGGGTTGACTTGTAAATAAATCTGTGTTTCCAAAGCATTTCATTGCCTGGTGAAAGTGGGAGGAGCATTGGCTGTACAGTTGAGAAGAGTAGTTTGGCTCTCTTAAATGCTTGAGGAACGTTGAGCCAAGTTATGTTAATAATTTTGTTTTAAACAACTGTCTTTATCCAAAAAATGGTGTTGAATGAAAGAGGATTGAGGCAAGAATAGGGAGAGAGAAAAACAGCTACTTTCCTTAGAAGAAAAACACTTTCTTTATAATTTCACCTGAAATACATTGCCATACTTTATATATAAGAAATAGTATGTTCACTCACTATTAGGTATGGATTTAATCAGGTAAGTATTACTTACACATTCACTTTCAGAAGGGATGTGAGGCATCTTTGAAGCAACATATTAAGTTCATGCTGAAGCTGGAGGTGTAGAGGCTTTCTCTTTTTTTTTTGGGTCCGGTCGTGGGGCCTGAACTCTGGGCCTGGACGCTGCCCCTCAGCTCTTCGCTCAAGGCTAGTGCTCTACCACTTGAGCCATAGTGTCACTTCGGCTTTTTTCTTTTTGCTTATGTGGTGCTGAGGAATCAAACCCAGGGCCTCATGCATGCAAGGCAAGCGCTCTACCACTGAGCCACCTTCCCAGCCCTGTAGAGGCTTTCTTATTAGATCAAGTCTGCACTACTGCTCTGTACCTACTCTGCCTTCAGCAAAGCTACAAAACCCTGATCGTCTGGCGGGGAAGGGACACTTTTACTCTGCCAAGAGCCATAAAGTTTTTAATACACATAGGCAGCCAAGGAGAAGCCTGTGTATTTGTCCAGTCTTGGACCAAATGATTTTGTGGACCTTACAAAGACCATTGGGGCAGATGTTCCTTCTCACTAAGCTATGGCTCAGAAGACAAATGAGGGAAACTGACAACCTTGACCAGATTTGGGGGGTTTTATGCTTGAATTTGAATTAGTAATTATGAATTCTAGTGAACAATACAATGACTTATTGGTAGTGGTGAACTAGCTATCCAGCCAGAATAAAAACTGGGAGTCACATAGTGCTTTTCTTGCTTTTTTTTTTTTTTTTTTTTTTTTTTGCTATATCTCATCTCCACCCATGTTTACTTATTTCATTATTTCAAGTCTAGGAAATAAACACTACTCTAAACATGTTTCCTCACTTGTTCATAAGTGCAATATCTTAAAAGCACATATTTTCAGTCAAATGTTGGTACCTATAGATTCAGAAGCAAGCTGTTCTGGTGTATATTATGAATAATATGTTTATGTTTATAAGATTTAACTAATATTCCTACATAATTATCAGTAATTAGTAAACTTGAGTAATTTTACAGCTTCATAGGTAATAAGTATTGCTGAGAAAATGTAAAACAATTAAGTCCTTATATAGCCCAAATTAAGTTGGGATGTGTTAGAATAATACAACTAAGAATGTTGTGTTCTTTCTGTAGATTGTAAAGACGAAAGTTCCACAAGTTGCATCAAAATGAAGTGTGGTTTTAATTGCAGTCCAGCTCATTCTGAATGTAAACTGGCAAAATCTGATGACAGTGGAAAGCAAGATTCCTATACATCGCCCTATCTGGAAGGTTCTTGTAAAGATTCTATTAAAGACTATGAAAGGTTATCATACATTGGGTCACCAGTTGTGAGCCCCAAAGTTGTAGAATTTGAACCTAAAGGCAAACCTCTATATAACAAAGAAAATCAACATGTGCAACAAACACTTAACAGTTTGAGTGATGTGGAAGAACTAGAGGCCAGTAGACTCTATGAAGACAGTGGCTACTCTTCGTTTACTCAACAAAGCAGTCTCAGCGAACATGAAGAAGGTAGCCTTGTGCTGGAAGAAAACTTCGGACACAGCCCGCAGTCCTGCCTACTGCCCACAGAAAGCTCAGACTCTTACCCCAACAGAAACTTGCTGCCAGTTCTTCATTTTGAAAAAGTGGTTTGTTCAACATTAAAAAAGAATGCCAAGCGAAATCCTAAAGTAGACCGAGAAATGCTAAAGGAAGTTATATTCCGGGAAAACTTCAAGCTACAGAATGTAATTGGCAGAAAAATGGGACTAGAGTGTGTAGATATTCTCAGTGAACTCTTCCGAAGGGGACTCCGACACCTCCTAGCCAGTATTTTGACACAGCTCAATGGTATGGACTTAATCAGGTAAGTACTACTGCTTTGAATACATGCATTAGTGTTAGTAGGCCAAGCATTACTAGTGTATGCAGTGCAATCATCTCACAGTATTGCTTAATGGTAATAATGACTTGCTTGGTTCCTATTGTAGTAGGAGCATTTATCTAACTAGTTGCCCCTGTGGGGATTCACTGTAAAACCAGAGCCAACTTCCAGTTTACAGATTTGATTTGCATCTGAAGTATGAATTTCTGTTGCTTTTATGCCATTTTGGATGTAGGACTCTCCTAGGCTTGACACTGATGAAAATATAGAGACCTATATAGTTGTTACTAAATTAGAAACTTTAGAGTGATTGTTTTTTTTTTTTTCACCAAGGAAATGCATTTAGGATAGGGTAGTTTTGAGAAATAACAGATTATACAAACTGTTGAACTAGATTGACTTCAATTCCCCAATGGGTTCATTTCTTTGATTATTTTTGAAAAATTATTTAGAAGTACTGTGCAGATGTGGCTTTATACTAGCTGTAGGGCTTGTGGACCAACTAAAGACAAAGATACAAATAGGTATTGGTTTTTATTGTTGTCTAGCTTTAAGATAATATAAATATAAAACTTTTTCTATTGACAAAATAGTGTATCCTAGAGTACTTTGCAATTTGTCAGTATTTTTCATCAAACATGGCATCGTTATGCACAATGCTGGCTGCTGACTAGGTCTTTGCAGATAATGTAAAAAAAAAATAGAGCATAGTAAACTGGTTCTTAATCTGGATACACTAGAAATACTTGATGGGGAACCTTAGCACCTTGGGTCCCATTATATACTGTAAGTTCCTGCAAACAATGTTCACATATACTTAGGGGAGAGGACCACTGTTAAATAGAAATTTCATTTTTGCACTGTTTACTTTATTTACTATACTCATCTTGGCATCTTCATGACCCTGTAATTGTTTCCTTTTTTTCTCATGTTCTAGTTTGTCTAAAGTGAGCACAACTTGGAAGAAGATTCTAGAAAATGATAAGTGGGCATTCCAGTCTTATGAGAAGGCAATGAAAAGATTCTTTGTAAGTCCTTGTAGTTGATGTTTTCCTGATAAGATCTGTTATTCCCTCTTTTACCATGAGAAATGGGAATGAAATACCAAGCAACCTAGGGTCCTTTGAAATTCTTGAAGGATGGGTAGAGAGTAACCTTTCAGTATAACTCATTTAAGGCTTAAAGTTCAAAACTAGAGAAAGAAATCTTACTTCAGTTACTTATTTCTTGAGTTCTCCCTAGAAATAAAATGCCAGGTATTGGTGGCTCATACTTGTAATCACAGCTATTCAGAAGCTGAAATGTGAGAGGATTATGGTTGAAAAACCAGCCTAGGTAGACAAATCAACGGAAGATTTTATTTCCGGTTAACCAGGAAAAAAGCAGGAAGTGGAGGCAAGGCTCAAGTGGTAGAGTGCCAGACTTGAGCAAAAAAGCAAAGTGAGAGCATAAGGCCCCAATTCAAGCACCATTGCCAGTACAGACAAAAAATTGTAAGTAATGATATTACTTAGTTCTTAGATGATGGAAGTTGATCATACAGCGACCTTGAGTGCTATTTTTATGTGTCTTATATGCTTTGTATTTGCACTTACTGGTTATTAAGAAATTAATAGTACCCTTTTTCAGTTACCAGAAAAAAAGTAAATTATCAATATGCTGAAGATTCTTACTGTAGAAGAGAAATGTATTCCATAAATAATTGATTACTGGATATTCCTGAGAATCAAGGTCAATATATGATTAAATTTCAAGTGTAGAGTTGGATAGGCTTAGGTCTAAATGTAGGTGGCTCTTGGTAAGTATTGCTTAAATTCCCATGTTCAGCTTTCTTATTGCTATGCTATTATTAATGGAAAATGTAACTATAAAAGTAGTTTTTAATTTCATCAAAATACTAAGGTGGCACTGGAGTGTGGCTATTGCCATCTAGTGGCCATGAAAGAATTTTCAGTCATTCCTTTGGCTCATGTAGTTATAAATCGTCTTGAAAGAAGAGTACATATCAGTTTGAGAGATACTTTGTCGACAAATTAGGCTTTGAATTTCTGTGCATCCTGCTGTATGGCTGTGTTTGAAAAAGTGGTTTGTTCAACATTAAAAAGAATGCCAAGCAAAATCCTAAAATAGATCGAGAAATGCTAAATAAAAGAACTTATATTCCAGGAAAACTTGAAGCTATGGAATGTAATTGGCAGAAAAGTGGGCCTAGAGTGTGTAGATATTATCAGCAAACACTTCCATTCCTGTTTAGCTTATCTTATATTTAGAAAGATAACCAAAGTGCTTATCTATTGAATTAATAGAGAAAATAAAATAATTTAACTTCAAATGAAATCTTCTTTAGGAAAACAAGATAAAGTTTTCACCACACGCTTCAACCAGAGAATATGTTACCATCCGAACTGCGTTAGCTTCTGTTCAAAAGTCAGCAATCCAAGCTCCTTCCAGAAACACTCAAGCCAAATTATCCAGTCAAGGCAATCAGAAAGGTTCTACTCACAGTCGACACAGTGAATTTTCTGAGGTAAATTTTTTCTCTAATTGCCAAATTTAAAAACACGGGACAGGGGCTGGGAATGTGGCATAGTGGTAGAGTGCTTGCCTAGCATTGTGAAGCCTGATTCCTCAGTACCACATAAACAGAAAAGGCCAGAAATGGTGCTGTGACTCAAGTGGTAGAGTGCTAACTTTGAGCAAAATAAGCCCACGGACAGTGCCCAGGCCCTGAGTACTAGGAAATTATTAATGGGGATCTTAATTTTATAATCACTACCTTTTGTAATAGGAAGAGGGCAAAGCAGAAAAGAGTCTGCTCAAATCACTGGGGGATATTTTATTTTCAAATCACTGGGGGATATATACTAAAAATTGTCCAATGTGGATAGTTTTGCAAGCTTAATTTAGAAAACCTCAGCGTAATTTTTTTTTTAGAGAAGGAACTAAAAAATGATTACTGGATACCTTCCACTCATCCCATCAAACAGTGAACTTATAAGGGCAAAGATTATCTAATGTATGATGGTCACATTTTTCACAAATATTGCAGGAGGCAAGGAGTATTTTATTTTTTAAAAACTAAATTGTATTTTGTCTTACCAAAATTAATGTTTCTTCTCCCCCCAGATGGCCAAAACATTGAAAAAGAATGAAAGCCTCAAAGCCTGTGTTCGGTGTAATTCACCTGCAAAATACGATTGCTATTTACAACGTGCAACTTGCAAACGGGAAGGCTGTGGATTCGATTATTGTACACAATGCCTATGTGATTATCACATCACCAAAGACTGTTCAAATGGCAAGCTCTTAAAAGACTCATGTAAAACTGGCCCTTTACCCGGTACTAAAAAAAGCAAAAAGAATTTACGAAGATTGTGACCGCTTATTAAAACAATTATGAATGATCATGGTTAGAGAAAAAATTAGGTTTTATTTGTTTTTATGAATAAAAATAATGGTATTTTGCAGTTTTATATTATACTTGGGATTTATTTTCTCCCAGTAAATAGAGGGTACACACACACAACCTCTTAAAATATTTTACAATTTAATGTGAAGGAATTTAAAATACCTCAGTACAGACTGAAAATATCAACTATTTTAAGAAAAAGAAAAAACAGGGTTGCTACCTGATATAATAAAGAACTGATTAAATGTTACAGGAAAAGAAGACAATGAAATTTCATCTAGACAATCTGGTTTACTATCTTAGCATTTTATTGGTTTTACCAGATCAATATTATCCTAAAACGAACTTGTCTATGTCTTTGTCACTTTTCTTGAACCTTTTTTTCCAGTGTGTATATTTCCCCAAAACTTACCCTTGCTAAAATCTTGCTGTTTTTCCTACTTCTACAGCCTGTTTATATTTTTATGTGTGTAAATATTTTTGTATTTTTATGTTAAATATGTCTATATATATAAATTTTACAAATAAAGTTGTTACAAGTTTTGTCAGTGTAGTGTGGTTCTTACAGAAGTGTTGGTATTAGAGCTTGGACTTCAGGGCTGGGCGTGCCCCTTAGCTTATTCACTCAAGGCTAAGGCACTACCACTTGAACCAGAGTCTTACTTTCCAGGTCCTGTTTTGTTTTGTTTTGTTTTGTTTGCAGGCTTGGGGTTTGAGCTCAGGGCCTGAGAATAGTCTCTGAGCCTCTTTGTGTTCAAGACTAGTGCTACACTTGAGCCACAGTACCACATCAAGCTTTTCCTGTGCAATTTACAGGAAATGAGTCTCCAGGACTTTCTTCCCCGGGCTGGCTTTGAACCTCAGTCCTCAGATCTCAGCCTCCTGAGTAGCTATGATTATAGGTATGAGCCACCCAGTGCCTGGCTTTTTTTTTTTTAATCCAATCTACTAGTCTGTCTTTTAATTGGAGAACTGAAACTATATTAACAGTTACTGTTGAATGATACCTAGTAATTCCTGTCTGCTTGTTTTTATATTTATATTGCTTGAGATTCCCTTCCCCCCTTGTTACACAATTAGTGTAATTTACTCTTTCCCTGGTTGTCATGGGTTCTTTTGAACTCAGCCTGGGCACATCACATTCCCAGCTCATATATATACATATATATATACACATATATATGATTTCTTTAAATATTCTCTGCAGTGCTGGCTTTGGTCATGGATTCCTTTTGCTTTTATTTTAAAATCATGGAAGACATTTCTTGCTTCAATTATAAAGGATAGGTTTGCTGGAGGAAAGCAAACCAGTTAAAAGAGTTAAAGATGGTGAGGAAGGAAGAAAAAATTGAATGTGTGACTGGGATTTTGACTCAATTGATAGTAATGGCACAAAAAATAAAAACATCCTAGCTTTCAGGAGGCTGAGACTGAGCTGGCCCCAGCCAGCCTGGGCTCCACACGGACAGTGTTAGACAAAAAACAGCACAGGACAAAATGATCGATTTAAAAAAAGAATCATTAGGGGCTGGAAATGTGGCTCAGTGGTAGAGTGCTTGCCTCACATGCATGAGGCTCTGGGCTCCATTCCTCAGCACCACATAAGCAGAAAAAGCCGGAAGTGGTGCTGTGGCTTAAGTGGTAGAGCAAGTGCTAGCCTTGAGCTGAAGAGCTGAGGGACAGCGCCCAGGCCCAGAGTTCAGGCCCCAATGACCGGGCCCAAAAAAAACGAAGAAGCATTAAAGGCAAAGAATGCCCTGTTACTAACCTGTAAGTTATTAATAAACAGAAAAAGATTCAGAACCCTAAAAGGAGTTTGGAGAAGGATAAGACACACTTCCATTTCCCTAAAGAGATTAGTTGTAAAGGCATCAATGAAACATCTTCACCTAGCTGCAGATAGCTAGCGTGCCAGGAGCTGGCCTAATACCTAGAAGGCCTGGCTTGTGGGTAGGGCTGGGTGCTGTTACTCTGTTCTGTCCTGCTCTGCTCCGTTGGTGCACACCACTTCCCGTTCTGCTTCTGGCCTTCATCTGTCACCTTTAAGGGGATGCAGAAATGTTTATCATGTCTGAAAGTTCATGCTGCACTCCTGGAGTGTCTGACTTAACTTACCTCAGTCCGGTAAACACTTGAAACAGCTCATCTTCAACTCCCACTGTAAGAAAAGGAAAAACAAAAAACAGACCAATAGATTTTCTTGGGGAGGAAAGTCTGGGAAGGGCAACCAAGTCCTGCGCCCCGCCTGAAGGGGAAATGGCCCATTACAACTAGGGTTCCTTTAGTCAGAAAAAGTGAAGTGGGAGGGGCGTAGATAGAAGCCAGGTGAGATGAGACATCAATGCTATTTTGAGGAGTTTCAAGGTTTCCCCAGCATCAGTGTCTACCAGGGGTGTCAGCATCAGATGGGACTTCAGACTCGGGCTCTCTCCAGAGACCACGAGGTGTGTTCAGGGGGAAGGGAGATGATCCTGTGGGGTCAGCAGCAGGGACAGTTGCCATCAGAGGGGAAAGCTGAGTGCTTTCAGTTCAAGTCATTTTCCACTGCCCACCTCTACAGCTCTTGTATTTAGTTTCTAGTTGATGTCCCTAAATGAAATGATTCCCACTTCCAGCTGTTTCTGTCTTCCCACTGCGTGGAGGCTCTCTGTCTTAGACTAAATCTCTGGCCAGCTCCCAGTGGATGCGCTGGGAGTGCAGGACCTTTGACTTGGAAAGCCACACTGGATTGCAGCTCTTGTGAGTACTAATGTTAATGTATCTTCTCCATTCCATCCTATTATCTCAGTTCCTACCCTCCTGCTGCAGCACTTCTACCAGTTCTCAAGGAGCTCTCTCCTCCCCCTAGGTTCTGCTAGCTAAGGTCGGTTTTTGCTTTAGAATAAGATTCTGTGTGTTCCCAGCACTGTTTTGTGAAGCAGTCATCTCCCCAATCCCCGCCTCAGTCCTTACCCTGTATCGGGGATATGCATGTTCCACAAACCCCACAATGCTAACTACAAAATGAGAGGGTGCTTCTCAACAAGTTCACAATAATCAGCTATGTCTTACTTCTCTTAACATCTTTTTCACCCCCAGATAGCCTGAGCTCCTGACATTTGCTGTTTTATTTTGGTTCTTTAGATTCCCCCGTCCCAAGATATTTTACATAAGTAGAATCATGATAACTTGTCCCTTTTTGTTGTTGTTGGCCGTGGGGCTTGAACTCAGGGTTTGGGCGCTGTCCCTCATCTCTTCAGCTCAAGGCGAGCACTCTACCTCTTGAGCCACAGCACCACTCCCAGTTTTCTAGTGCTGTATTAGAGATAAGAGTCTCATGGACTTTCCTGCCTGGGCTGGCTTTGAACCCAGATCCTCAGATCTCAGCCTCTTGAGTAGGTAGGATTACAGATGTGAGCCACCACCGGTGCCCGGCATAACTCGCTCTTTGTCTTGTTCATTTATCAGTTTTCAAGGTCACTGCAATGCTTCCATGTCATGGTTCTTTCTTTATATATATATATATATAACGTCTGGATCATTTTACATTTCTATCAGCAGCACACTAAAAAGATCCAATTCTGGGGCTGGGAAGGTGGCTCAGTGGTAGAGCGCTTGCTTTGCATGCCAGAGGCCCTGGGTTCGATTCCTCAGCACCACATAAGCAAAAAGAAAAAAAGCCGGAAGTGGCACTGTGGCTCAAGTGGTAGAGCGCTAGCCTTGAGCTGAAGAGCTGAGGGACAGCGCCCAGGCCCAGAGTTCAGGCCCCACGACTGGACCCAAAAAAAAATTAAAAAAAAAAAAAAAGTTCCAATTCTTCACAATCTAGAGTTTTATTTTCTTGCCTCCTTTTCTTGGCTAGACTCTTCCACTATAATTTTGAAAGGAAATGATGCACATAGATACTTTTGTGTTGTTCTTAATCTTTAGGTCCTCCTCTGCCTGTGTCACCATAGTCTATTGGCTGTCTGCTGTCTCTTTAGTTCACAAGTCTATAGAAATCATACCTGAGGAATTACATTTAAGCAACATCTACTCAGGGCTTCATTTAGATGATGAGATTCTGGTTTGGAGCTGAATATCATGGGATGAGACTTTACAGTTTGGGGGTGGAATAAGTATCTTTTTTGTCTGTGAGAGATGTGAATTTACTGGATGAGGAAGCAAACTATTAGCTGGCTTCTGAAATGGTCCTCAGTAATCACAAGCTCACAGTATTTATGCTTCTTGTATAATCCTTACCACAGTTTTGATCTGTAACTAACATGCTGCAGTGTGCATTCTGGAAAGACTGTGTATAGGATATAAAAGACACTTTGAATTCTACCTTTATTATCTCCAGAGTTTCTCCTACATTTAAAGTGATTTAAAGTATTAGATTTTACTTTGAGCTCTTTCAGCCACTTAAAGTTGATTTTTTTTGCAAGGTGGGAGATAGAGGACCAGTTTCCATCTCTTGTGGGTAGATACCAAATTTTCCAACTGCATTGTTGAAGAAGCCATCTTTATCCATAGTATTTGTCTTTGCCTTCTTTGTGGAAAATTAGTTGGCTGAAGCTGTGTGGTTTTATTCCTGGGTTTTTTATATTGGTTTTTGTGTCTGTTTTTGTGCCAGTACTATGTTACTTTTGTTATTAAGGTTTTGTAGTATAAGTTGAAGTTTGATACAGCTCCAGTGGCATTCTTTCCACTTACAATTTCTTTTATTAGTCAAGATTTTATATGTCTCCATGTGAATTCTTGGATTAATTTCTCTTAATTTTGCAAGGAATGATAGATTTTTATCAGTAGTGCATTGAGTCTGTATATTGTTTTGGCAGTATGGCCAAATAATTATTTATGATATTAATTCTGCCAGTTGATGAGCTTGGAAGGTCTTTCTAGCCTCTGAGGTCATCTTCAGTTTCTTTGAAGTTTCAGTTTTCACGATGGAGGTAATGGGATTCAGATCACAAGATTAGAAAGGTGCTAGCCACTCAGGAGGCTGAGATCTGAGGATCACAGTTCAAAGCCAGCCTGGGCAGGAAAGTCTATGAGACTCTTATCTCCAATAAACCACTAGAAAACAAAAAGTGGTGCTTTGGCTCAAGCGGTAGAGAGCTTGCCTTGAGCTGAATGAGGGACAGCACCCAGGCCCAGAGTTCAAGTCCAATGACCGACAAAAAAAAAAAAAAGATTCTAGAAGGATGGGACTAACCAGTGGGCTGGTAAGTAGGGGTTAAAAGGTAAAATACCTTTATCTGATTTACAGAAAAGATACAATGTAAACAACTTTCAAAACAATTGAACCATATTCCTCTGCTCTCTGGTTCCATAGGTGTAGCATGGCTTCTCACAGGTTATTTTTTTACTTATTTCTTTATTTTGCTGTTCCCTGCCATCAGCTCTGACCAACCTTGACACCACATTTATAACGTACTAATTCTCAATTTCTATGGAAAAGTGTAGTGTGGGTTGTTAGGCTGTGATTAGTTTGATTAGTTCTTGGTTCCGAGTTCCCACAGAACCATTGGTGAC